GCTGCCACCGGGGGCGCTGTGCGCCCATTGGCTGGGGAACCTGGGGCCCCTTTTGCTATTGGCTGGCAGGGGGCAGGGSCCCGCCTCATCACCCCTGCCCTGGGCGGGGACGTCATGGCGGCTGGGCCGGGGCAGGGGCCGGTGGGCTCTGGCGGGGCCGGGGGTCTCTGGGCAGGGGCAGGTGGGCACTGGTGGGATCAGGTGTCTCTTGCATGGAGGCTGTAGTCCCCAAGGTGACGCTTCCGTGGTGCTCTTCCCCGCAGGGGTGGCGGTGCCAGCCCTGCCATGGCCACGTTGGTCTGTGGGACACTCCTGGGGCTGGCCCTGTGTGCACTGAGCAGCACCACTTTCCTCTACCACGACTACTGTGTCATCGGGGCCGGCCCCGCGGGCCTGCAGGCAGCCTATTTCCTCCAGCAAGCCGGGCGGGACTACGTTGTCTTCGAGCGGAGCCATGCACCTGGCAGCTTCTTCGCCCTCTACCCTCGCCACCGCAAGCTCATCAGCATCAACAAGCAGTACACGGGCAAATCCAACAGCGAGTTCAACCTCCGCCACGACTGGAATTCGCTCCTCAGCCATGACAGGCGGCTGCTTTTCCGACACTACTCGCGTGACTTCTTCCCTCACGCTGACACGATGGTGCGTTACCTGGAGGACTTTGCATCCCTGCTGGAGCTGCGGGTTCAGTACAACACAGCCATCATCCACGTGACACTGGAGAGAAACGAGCAGGCCTGGAATGGCCACTACTTCCTCCTGACTGACCAGGACAGGAAGAACTACAAGTGCAGGTAATGGGCAAACCTGGGGCTTGTCGTGCGGCTCTACATGGTCATCTTCGAGGTCATAAAATCACAGGATAAGTTAAGTTGGAAGAGGCCCATGAAGGCCATTTTGTTGGGTTGCTCAAAGCCTTGCCCTGTTGAGGCATGAGTATATCTCCAGTGATGGAGGTTTCACAGCCTCCTAGAGCCTTAACCACCATCACAGGGAAAAACATTTTGTGGGGTCAGTGGGTGGATGAGTGGAATAAGTGCTCCTGGGAAGACACTGCCTTCCATGAGCAATGTTTTTTGCCTTGAGCAGCTGAGGGCAGAGCAGATATGAACAGGCTGCACTGGCCATCATGGCAGGGTCCATCCTTGATAGGTAAACTTGAAATCACTTCTGTTTTATCACTAGATAACTGCTGTCTGTGAAAAAAGTAACACAGTTGTACTTGTAGCCACCACTTCATTTATTGAAAATGAGAGTGAGTCAGTGCAGTGACACCTCACTCCTAGGTCTCAGCTCAGAACTGTGTCCCAGCCAAGCTGAGCCGTGAGCTGACAGAGCTGGAACACAGAGGGGAACCAGAGGAAAGTGGGGCTGACTATAAGAAATAACCCTCAACACTGCTGGTCCCTGAACTCCCCTTCCCCTCATCATATTTACGCATGTATATCCTGCACTGTCATTGAGCTACGTTCCTAAAAACCTAGAAGTTACTCATGTGAACATATGGAGTGTATTTCCCACCTCTCCTGAGAACCTCAGCTCTATGACAGCAGGTCGTGCTGGCTGTCACTTGCCGGTGTGCTGCTGGCAGGCTCAGGGGGGACAGAAGGCAATCCCGGACACCCACGTACTGCAAGCAAGTTGCTTTTTGGAGCTGTGTAATCAAGGCTGGGACAGCAGACAGTGCTGCTCGCCTCAGCTGCCTGGCGTTTCCATCTAAGTCACAAACATTTCCCCAAGAATCAAGCAAAAGCTCTTACGCAGAGATATAAAAAGATCACTGTACTCATTTTTGGTGTTAACAATTAGTGACGTTGCTAACATGTTTTTATGGCTGGGAGTTACATTTCAAAATATCAAAACCATATCCTGTCTCCTTAAAAATTACTTCTGTCCTGCTCTACTAAAAGGCAACTCAAATTTTAAATCAAAGTCATTTTTTATGCATCATATAACCAGTGTGTGGAACTTTAGCATTATATATATAGTTAGTGAATACATATGAGCAGAGCTTGCGTTCATGAACAATGGAGTAAGATGTGTATGTACAGCATCCACACTGACTTTTGCTATATATAAGAACATGCCTAGTTGTCCTGAGGAGAGGGACGAGAGGAGCAGATCATTAGGTGGAACTGGGTAGAGGTTTCTTTTGAAACCATGGCTTGTGCCAATGATCCAGCATCACTGTGGGGGGCACATCACATCCATCTTTCACAGCGGGAGGAGGAAGGAGTGCTGAGATGGAGCCCCATTCCTCTAATTCCAGCATTCCCTAGTGCTATCCCTGTTTTTACAGCTCTTTGTTGGTTGCCACTGGGACGTGGGTCCCCAATGTGGTAAACTTCCCTGGCTCAGAATATGTTGAGGGTTACGAGACTGTGTCCATCAACCCGGAGGATTTTGCTGGCCAGACCGTGTTGATTTTGGGACGCGGGAACTCAGCCTTTGAGACGGCAGAGAACATTCTGGGGGTCACGAACTTCATCCACATGGTGAGCCGGTCCCGCGTGCGCCTCTCCTGGGCCACCCACTACGTCGGGGATCTGAGGTAGGAAACTGCTTCTGTTCCTCTTTGTGATGCAGCTGAAGTACAAACAAGGAGAATCACTTCTTTCCCAGGTGACAGGCTGGACTGTGCAGGTAGTGCTGCTGTGGTCCTGAGAGGCACAGGGGAAACGTGGGGCCTTCTGTAGATCCGTGGTTTAAAACAATCCAGGTTGCAGTTGCTGAACACAGAAGCATGATGAGAGCTTTTTGGGAGCTGTGTGAAATAGAAACATGTCCACTTGGAAACTGTATCATTAAAAAGTGCTGGCTCTCAAGTTGTTCCTTTGCTTGCAATCACAGAGGAAAGCTGAGAGGTTGGCTACACCCTGCAGGGGCAGTGAGGCTGTGTTACCTGTGCCTTTCCTTTGAGCCCTGAGGCTCTGGGGATAACCTTTACACTGAAGAGGAGTTGGGATGCCTGACAATTGATCCCATTTTCAGCAGCTAAGACAGAACCTCCCTTCTTTTAGCCCTTCTTATGTTCTCCTGTTTTTCATAGAGCAATTAACAATGGACTGCTGGACACCTACCAGCTGAAATCTCTGGATGGGCTTCTGGAGGGTGACCTGGAAGATCTGGCTATTGTCAAGGACAAAAAAGGAAAGCTGCACATCACACTCCGGTTCTACCTGGAGAACGGGAACATCAGCGCAGGCATCGATTCCATCACCCTCCCGCAGGATGAACTGGACAATTTTGCCACCCGGGCACCTTACGACCGTGTCATCCGCTGCCTGGGCTGGAAATTTGACTTCTCCATCTATAACAGGTGAGGGGGAACCAGGATCTCCAGGGAAGAAGGTATTTAGACTGAAGGGCCTGAGTAGGGGGGGAAAGGAAGGGCAGGTCCTCTCCTGGCAGCATTGTTTGGACCTCCATGTGCTCTGAGCTACCTGGTGCTGCACAGTCTTCTGTTTACCCTGCAAGTAAGGCTGTGTCTCAGTGGGAATGTGTTTGTTGCTGCCCTCTGACCAACAGACTCTAAGGCTGAGCAGATGGCAGTGCTGGGACCGAGTGACACAGAAAAACTTGTGCCTTTAGAACTTAACATCCTGACCTGTCAGATCACATGGAGAAGGCTAGCAATGTTTTGGGGTTTTTTTGAAATGACGATGGTACAGGTGCAGATCACTACAGGAAGGTTTTTTCTGGGGAAAACAAATTTCCTTGAGGATGCAACCTTCACTCCACCTTGGTGCATCCTGCGGTTGAAAATTACACTGCTAACTTCACTGTCTTCCGGAATTCACTGTCGGTGGCTCAGCCTGGAATTGGATCTTGTCCAGAGCTACCTTGGGATGAGCACCCTTGTCTTCTGAAGATCCTCATTTTAGTAGTAAACCCCACTGAGGGCAGCAGGGGTATGAAGCAAAGTCTTGCAGTGGCTGCAATATAATGTGTATCAGAAACCCTTTTTATTTGCTACCCCCATCGTTCCTGACAGCCTGCTCTTCTCTTTTGCACATCAGATCCCTTAGAATGATGCCAGGAAAAGGGAATATTAAAAAGTATCCTCAGATCAAACCCAGCTATGAGTCCAGAGGCACTCGGGGGCTCTTTGTTCTCGGCACTGCTAGCCATTCTGTTGACTTCAGGAAATCTGCTGGGGGCTTCATCCATGGATTCCGGTATACAAGTGAGTAACTGGGGTGTACAGAAAGGGCAGAGGTGGAAATTGTTCCTCTCTTCAAAGGAACAGTCCATAGCTTACTGCTGGAAAGAGATCACCCTTAGTCTTGTTCTGGCAATAACAATGACAAAACACAGTCAAGCTGCAGCTGCATCTGCATTGTCTGAAGTGGAGGAGAAGTGACTTGGGGTCATATCTGAAGTTTTTGGTTGTCTGTCTTTGTTTTGTCTTGTGTCTCTCTTGCCTGTTGTCTGTTATTTATGTAACACAATAGATTTCTTCCTGCCAGATGCTCTGCCTCGTGACTGGCTGTGGGTGAGAGGTCTGTGCTGTGGAGTTAAAACCCAGCAGCTGTGGGCAGTAGAGAAAATTTCCTTCTTTATGTGTGTTTGCCCATCCTTATCATTAAAGGACTTTCCAGAAGTAAAGAAATATACCTGAGGACCCCACCATCCCCTCCCCCACCACTTAGCATCACATCAGCTTTCAGAGGGCGTCTCCACTGCAGTTACCAGCGATTGGGGTGGGAGATCCTGAGCACAGAGGAGCTGTAAAGCTTATTTATTGAGTCCTGTGCCGCAGCAGAGTGATTGGATTTCTTAAAAGCGTAAGATTGGATTTTTAACTAAGCTGTCTTTGTTTCTCTCGATGTCTTAGCTCGCGTGGTCCATCGCCTATTGGAAAACCGTCACCATGGTGTCCCCTGGCCATCCACAGTCTACCCTATTACACAGCTGACCAATTCCATCATCAAGCGGGTGAACGAGGCCTCAGGCCTCTACCAGATGTTCAGTGTCCTGGCTGACATCATTCTGCTGAGAGAGTGAGTGAGTGAGTGAGTAATTATTCCCAGCACTGCACTCCATCATTTCGTTTCTCTTTCTTTACCATTGCTTCCCATGGTGACACCACACAGATTGCTGCCTAAGTCGGGTAGGCAGCCACCCCAGACCTGTACCACTGCCACAACTGGTGCCAGTTACTTCTGCCCCTTACTTCCCTTTCTTAAAGGGCTGGAATGGTACAGACCTTCCCTCCAGGCTCAGCAATGGAATACTCTTTTACTGTCCCCAGGAAAAGAGTTTCCTTGAGCAGTTCTAATGTAAAGAAGAGTCCCATAATCCAGGAAAATAATGGAGTCTTGTAACAATATCTGCAGCCTTCATAAGCTCTGCATCAAGTCCAGCCCAGATCTGTAATGACCAGAAAAAAAAATTACTATCTGCTGGCTTTTTGGCCTTATCTTCACCCAGCTGAGGGTGGGTTGGATCCCAGCTGGCTTTGTCTGGTGGGAAAGTCTGATGGTGTGGTTGCAATTCACAGGAATGCCACAGCATTTGAATACCTGGAAGAGTACCCCACTGGAGTCCTAGCAGAGCTGGAAATGCAGACTGGGAGAAAGGCTCCCAATGGGCTCTTTGTCATCATCATGGAGTATGGGAGGAATTTCTCTGGGGCTGACAAGGATGTCTTCTACTACAACCGTGCCGTGGGAGAAGCACAGCATGCCTGGCAGTCCAACTTTCTACACCCTGTTATTTACTATTACAAACGCCTCCCAACAGGTGAGTTTTCCTGCTAGCTATGTGATACAAGCGAAACAGAGAGGGATGAAGATAGTTCAGAGCCAGAGGAGGGGCGGTACCTGAAGGCATTGTTCCCCCTTCTCCATTTCCCTCATGTCTGTCCTTTGAGACACCCGCCCACCACTGCATGAGCTGAAAAAGAAGCTGGCAGTTGGCAAGAAATTTCCATCGGTCAGTACGGGGGATAGGAGGTTGGTACCAGAGACCTCACATTTGAAAATAGGAGCAAATAGACGTGCTGGAAATTTCACCATTCCCAAAAAGAGGAACACTGCTTCCCTTTGGCTGGCACCCTGTGTGTGTTTTGCAGAGCCTGGCAGATGAGGCTGGGCTGTTGTTGTTTGGCAGTGCTGCTGCCAAAAGAAAGCTTCTCTATGTGGCTGACCCTGGTCTGAGAGGTCACACAGCCATAGAGGCAGCCAAAGGCAAGGGTTTGAAGAGGAGTGTTATATCCAGCAAGCAAACATGATCAGAATAGATTTCCTTGGGAAGTGAGTGTGTTGAGTCTTCATCCCCAGAAACCTAGGGTCGTGGTCCAGCCGGCCTTGCACGGAAATAAGCATGATGTGTAGCAGCATTAAACACAGCTTAGGCCGTCTGGCAGTCCCTGCCCAGGGGGAACAGGAGTGAAATGACAGGAATGCTGTGAGTGGGGACAGAGGGCAGCTGGTGCAGTGGCAGGGCTGTTGAGGACAGAGCTAGCAGAGGGGATTGCAAATGAAAGTAAGGTAGGGATTAAAAGGTCAGGACAAAAGCTGAAACAGCTGTCACAGCTGCTTTCCATTCCTCAAGCTCTTTTTAATGCCATTTTGCTTCTAAGAGACTCCCTTAATGTTCTCTTGGCAGAGCGTGAGATGAAACTCCGGCCGCCAGAGTGGCCTCTCCCTCGTCCAGATGCCATCCATCACATTGTGGAGGACTTTCTGACAGACTGGACAGCCCCAAATGCTCACATCCTGCCACTGAGGCGCTTTTTGGAGAACTGCCTCAGCACCGACCTGCGCAGTTTCTTTGCAGGTAATTTGAGCACAGAGTCCAGGTGGCAGGAGGAGGAGGAATGTGAGGTACAAAAGACAGGAAGGATCTCTTCTGCAGATAGCTGAGATCTTCCTGTGGTGAGTTGCTTGTCTCACCATCAGTCACACCTCAGCACAATCCCCAGACAGTAAAAAGTGCCGTTCTGTATGTGTATGTTCCCAAAGAGCCTTTGCTCTTGCTCACCATTAGAAAGAGACTGGCCCAGGCATGCCAGGATTTAGGGAAAGGTATATCAGGTTGGGTTCAATCCCTTTTCTAGCTGCAGCTTCCCTTCTCCATTATCTGAACATTTCTTTGTACTATTGGGTACTAGATCTTATGTACTGATGATGGGATTGCTTTCCCATGGGAAATGGGAGTGCTGTGGTGTGAAAGCTGAAGACAGCCTCTGCTGCCTCCCTTCCTGGTCTGAAGACTGGTCGGGGAACCTCCTGCAGGAAGCCCACATGGCAACAGAGAGAAGCAATCCTGTGGTACAAAGAGGATGCTAGATGGACACAACCTCAAATCCAGATCCTTTTTCTCTCAGACTGCAGACTGGAGATCCCTCTCTGCATCTCCTGAGCTCTGCAGAATTAACTCAATTACTGTGCTGCAGTCGTCTTCCCTCGTCCTCTCTGCCTTTTGTTTTGAATGAGTCCTTGATACTTTATGGGAATTTTTCCCTACAGGGTATCTCTGCTGAATCTGATTTTCGATCCTTTCCCCTGCAGAGTCCTGTTTCCTGTTTGCCTTCACCCATCAGAAGCTGCCCCCCTTCTGCCAGCAGGGATACGTGAGGATGCAGGGGCTTGTGGGCAGCGAGGGGCTCCGGCGCCACGCGGTGCAAGCTGGACTACTGCAGGATTACACTCTCACAGACTTTTCGGGTGACAGACCCCCTGACAGCCACGACAGGTCAAGGGACCAGTTGCTGAGAGATCAAGTCATTCCAGTTCGTCCACTGCAACATCTTGTCAAGGCCAAGGATGAGCTTTAACCTTTCTTGCTCTACACTGAAACCTAGAGCTGTTGTGACAGCACTGTAACAGAGATCCACAGCAGGATTCTGCCCTTTTCCTGTGCCCTTTTTCCATCCTCATGCCTTCCCCTAATCATGAGTTGCCAAAGACCTGCTCAGATCTTGCTGTTACGAAGAGGACCAACATCTTTTGAATAATGAGCAACGGGCCAAAATCCAGTGATGCTGAGGCTCCTGCGTTGTCCTTGCAGAGCTCAGAGTTGCCTGAAAGTGGTGTTTGTGTTTATCTGACTGACCAGTATCTGCAGTGACGTACAGAGGTCACAGAAGAGAGTTCAGGAACACCTGGGAAACTTAAAATGTCATGTTCCCCTTTGGAGGTGACCTGCTTGCACCCTGTGGAGCCTGGTGCAGGCTCTCTGGTCCCTGGATGCTATACCCTGTGTATACTTGAAGATTTGCTCCTGCATCGGGTCCCGAAGTGGTACTCTGGGCAAACTTCCAGTATTTTTCTTGCATTTGAGTTAGGGCAGTTGTGTAGCTTCAGTGGGGAGGGGTTTTTTTTAGTTACCATATAGGTCAGATAATTTGTCATTTCCCAGAGAGCACTACAAGGGACCCTTCCCTCCACAGTGGATGAGTAGCTTGCCTGGAATGCCTGGGACACAGAGACTGACACTGACTTCAGCTATGCTGTCCTCATGTTTTTCTTCTCCCACACCAGGCAGCCTGGAAGGTTAGCCCTTTGTCTTTTATAAAGCATGACCAATATTTCTGCTGTTTGCACTATGTCCCATCAAGAAAGTTTGACGTTGTTAAAATGCTCCTTCTCTAATTTATTCACATTGAGTCACCTTGAGATCCTACAGGGAGTGTCTGGGAGGCTGGCTGCACTTTACTGCTCCCCCTGTCAGCCACATGCACTTGCTTGTCTCCTCCCTGTGGGCTTCTTCCATGACCCTGGAGTGGCAAAGCAAAAGCAGTTTTCAGCTTGACCTTATGATATCCCTGTGATTTCTAGGAAATAGAGGAGGGGTGAGAGGGAACAGGCGTTTACCTCCACACATGTTTTCCAACGCCTTAGCCTCTCAAAAAATATACACTTGTGCTTCCAGACTGGAGGGGGCTGTACTTTACATGTACCTAAAGCTCTCCCAATCCTTTGAATTCAGTTACTGTTTCTGTAAAACCCCAGTTTCTTGGAGAGGCTGGGGAGCAGAAGAGGTGAAGGACATGTCAAAGGATTTCTTGCACTCTTTGGGAGCACTGAGCTGTGCTAGCAATGCTGCTGCTTCTGGAAGATCTCACCTGTTCATGTGCAACTGGAGAGGGGAAACAATCACCTCAGGTGGCATCAATCAGCATCCTTCTATGGGTTTTACATCCCATTGCTGCAGCTCCAAGGCCAGACCAGGAATGGCTCTCGTGGCCTGTAGTTGCCTGGGTGATGTTACTACTTGCAACATCCTTGGCACCATGGGCATTTTATTTTGGAATTGTCCAGGGGAAGAAAAGGGCCTGTGGCTGAATTGGGTTGACCAGCTGTCCCCAAGAGCCTGTTTCATTTGTTCTCTGTGTGTGCTGACACAGAGTGCATCCCTGTTGTACCTACACACATGCACATTCTCCAGTTGTTTCCTCTTCCATCCTCAAATTCCCTCAGGAAAACATGAATCTGTACATTCACAGTGTACATGTTGCCTTACATTGTGATTTCCTTTAGAAAAGTGATGGTCTAAAAAACCAGCACCTACCAACTCTTCCAGCATGCTCTGCATGTCTCCAGGGTTTGATCTGGTGACTCAAACCCCAGAGGTTTTGCTGCCACTCACTTCCAATTGGACTTGGGGAGCCGGGATCCAAGTCCCCTTGCTTTGGGTGCTGCCAAATGAGTGTTGCCCTCTCAGCCTTGTTCCGGTTGGGCTCCCCCCAGTGCTGGATGTGGCAGGGAGTGGAGCCTTGGCTCTGAATTGTTTTCCATCAGGGACCGTGGTTACAAACGCTGCTTTGTGTCACCCGCAGGGGCAGAGTGCGTTCTGGAAGGGAGTTGATGGCTGTGTGGGGGGTTGCAGGGCTGTGCACTTCAAGGAAAGCCCTTTGCCCAGCTCCGACCTGAAGAGAGCCGCCGGCCGGGGCCGCCGCGCAGGGCCGTGACCGGGAATGGGGGCACGTGCGGAGGGCGGCGCCCATTGGAGGGCTCCGCCGCCAATCAGCGCTCGGAGTTTGCCAACCCGCGTGAAAGGCAAGCCCGGCCGGCGCCCAACGGGGGCGGAGCGAAGCGGCTTGAAGGACGAGCACGGCGACCAGCAGAAGATGAAAAACGGCCCTTGCGTGGCGGCGGCCAATCGCTGAGGGGGCCGTGGTGCCGTCTTTTCCGCAGCCATCCGGTGGTCTGCGGCCCAAATAACGCCGCAGGTGGGGCGGGCGGCGGGCGGAGTGCGGCTGGGCCGCGGGTCACCTCCGGGCCGGGAAGGTGCGAGGGGATCGGGGGGACGGGGGGAACTCTTCCGGGCTGAGGCCGACCCTGTCCTCAAGGGCCAGAGGGGGACTGGTCCTCACTAACCGGGCCTTGGGGGGCTCGGGCCCTGTCACTGCGAGAGCTTCCGGGACGTCACCGGCATGAGAGCCCCTGCCGGTAACCGGGGCTGCCCTGGGGGTGGGAAGGCAACGGTACTGTGGGCGGGGGACTCCCGGGGAAAACGCGCCCCTGCGCCATGGAGCTGGGATCCCGTGGAGGCCCCAGTGCCTGGGCCGGAGCTGCGGGGTTGGCGGGGGCTTGAGCACAGGGGCAGGGAGCTATTTCCGTGTAGGAATATCCCATCAGTGTCTCTCCCGGACCCCTGCCCTGGGGGCTGACCTGCCCAAGCGCACATCGGCTCGGGGCGCTGGGCGCAGTGGGACAAGCGTGGAGGGCCCCCCACCCCACGAACCTCCCGCTGGTCCCCCACAGATGGCCCCAGAGGCTGGCGCTGCGGCGGCTGCTGTCCCTCACCCCGCGGGGTCCCCCGGCACCCCCCGGCAGGGCCTTTGGCACCTCGGCGGGCCGCAGGAGCACCTTCAATGTGCAGGACGGCAGCGACTTCCAGGACCGGGTGGTGAACAGCCCCAAACCCGTGGTGGTGGATTTCCATGCACAGTAAGTTCCCCCCTCTCCACCGTCACATGTGCAGGTGTGCCCTGACTTTCCTGGCACGGTGGCACTCCGGGCACACCAGGGAGGAGCAGGGCCGAGGGCTTCCCAGGCTGTGGGGTCTGGTGTTACAGGGTGATTTTGCCCATGGAGCTCAGTCCGTAAAGATTTCACTCACAGCTGTGCCCTGCAGCGGTGTCAAACAGCAGTGCCAGGAAGGCTTTCCCCAGGGTGGCGTACTTGCACCTCCCAAGCACTCAGGTGTCACCCCACCCCCGGCCTTGCATCATCTTGCAAAAGATACCTCAGGAAAAAATTCTGATCTCTCCCCTATTTAGCTTTCGGGATGAAATGTCCTCTTAGAAGCATTAAATGTTGTTAACAGCCGCGGAGGAGCTCTGCACTTGCTCTGCCCCAGCACTGCCACGTTGTGTCTTTCCAGGTTTCCTAAGGCTGCTTGCTCTTGAGGCTCTTGACAGCAAGTGCCTTTGTGTTAATAACAGCCCTGTGACACTAACAGCAGCATTTGTCATCAACAAAAATGTTGTCATCCTCTTGCCAGTAAAAATATTCCTAGATGTTATCTGCTGGATTAACGACACTGATTATTTTTTTCATGTGTTTTCATGTAGTCCTGCAGTGCTGTCACATGAGCCTGTTATGGCTGATTGAGGGCAAACAGAGTATGAAACAGCCCAAAAACTTCTGCTCTAAACAGACCGAGCTGGCAAAGCAAAGTGAAGTTTAGCTGGGATCATCCAGGGAGGAGAGGACAAATAACTGAAAGAGTGAAACTTGATAGGGAGGGAGGCTGAGGAGGAGCAAAGTTCACCAGAGCTTCAATTCTATAAAAAAAGGGCACTTAGAGCTTTAACTCATGTTTTGCTTGAACTAAGTTCATAGTATCCTAGCTGATGCAGTTAGAGCATGCAGGGAGTGTCCAGGGCCTCACAGAGCCTGCTACTGCTGCACCTGGGTCTGGATTAGATGGTCTCCCTTTGAACAGATGCAATGCCTCTGCAAGTTTTGCAGCTAAAGGGGGTCTCTGTAAACCCTGCAATGAGCATGGAGGGGAAATCTGTGATTTGGTGATTGGCATAAACTGATTTGGGTGTGGTCAGCGAGCCTAGTGCCCAGCAGCAACACTGGCTCCAGGGCAGCAGGATCACAGCTCTGCATGTGGATGTAAAGCCCGGTGGGGGTGAACAAGAAGAGGGCAGGAGAACCAACAAGGCTGGCAAAGCAGACTGCGGTGTGATCGAAATGACATCTAAAGCACCACAAATGCTGGATGGTGACCTCTTCTCACACTCAGCCCCTCCACCACACACACAGAAAAAACCCTTGGTTGAGGAATACATTCAGTGCAGGTGTCTCTCAGGGTGCAGTTGCAGGGGAGCTGCAGGTTGACCTCTGGAAGCCCCAGGCAAGAGGCCGTGAACTGCTGACCCTTTACACAACAAAGGGCCTTGAGACATGTGGCCCAGCCAGGTGACCTGACACTCAGAGACACAGCAGGAGCTGCCTGTCCTGGGCTTAGACTGTGAGAGGATAAAAGCCCAAGGGTTCCACTGTTCAGGGTTCTTCCTCAAAGGCACCAGCTTCATCTGTTTGTTTTAAGGATGGGGACATCTGAGGCACTGCTGTGGGAAACCTGGGGTTGAGCCAGCAAGGAAACCTGGTCTGAGTGCGAGTGTGGGGTGTGTAGCTGTGAAGGGGCCTCGGTCCCAGCTCAGGTGGTTCGAGTGTGACTGCCAGAGTGGCTTCTGGATGGTTGAACATGAAGCTTCCTTAATGCCTTTGGCAGCTCCTTTGTGAGAGGAGTGTTTTTCAAAGCTGTGGTTCAGGAATGGTGTTTCCAGGCTGGCTCCCGAATGGAGCAGCACCGGCATACCAGCACATCCTCCATGGCTGTTGCTGTGCTTGCCTCCTCTAATGTCCCCTCTCTTTTCTTGCTCCATCAGGTGGTGTGGTCCCTGCAAGATCCTAGGCCCCAGATTAGAGAAGATGGTGGCCAAGCAGGAGGGGAAGGTGGTGATGGCCAAGGTGGACATTGATGATCACACAGACCTTGCTATCGAGTACGAGGTAGGAGGTGGAAGAGCACAGACTTCCTTTGGCTGGCAGCACCAAGAATGTCCCTCCCTGTGGAAAGCTGTGCCTGCATGGCAGCAGCATTGGAGGGGAGGGGAAGCCCAGTGCCTACTGGATCTCTTGTTAGTAGGTGGATTTTGCTGCTTGACTCTTCTCCAGCTCTGCTGGTCATGCTCAGCATCCCCCCCTCTGATTCTGCACAAAGGTGTCTTCTAGGCCTTGCAGGCATCTGTCACTTGCCTGGCCTTGAGGAGCCTGAAGCGCATGCGGCGTTTTGCTGTGAGCCTGGGCTGCTCAAGTGCAGGGCAAGAATGTAAAGTAACAATCCCCAATCTGCTCTGCTACTGAAAGTGGTTCTTTGTGCCACTGGCCCATCCTCTCTTTCCCTTCCTTGTTCAGGATCTGTAGCTGGGTCATAACATCCCATCCTTGAGTTGTAGCACAAGGAGACACCGTGAGTTTTGTTTGGACAGGTAGAAGCCAGGTCAGGAAACATGACATGCATCCTGCTCTTGACAGGAGGGACCTTGGTGCTTACACTAGTGTGTTAACACCACTGCTGGATGTGTTCCCTGTGCTGCCTTTCTCCAAGGAAGGAGCAGAATAACTGGAGAAGGCTTTAGGTTTACATGATTTAGTTATTTTTTCCCTGTGTCAGTGATTAGGTAGTTTAAAAAATACAAAAGCTTCTCTGACGGCTGTGCTCACTTCTGTTTTTTCTCCTTGTAAACAACAACTCTGTCTGTGGAGTTGGGGCATCCTGCAGTTGTCTTTTACGGGGAAGAAAGTGCTTAATTAAGTGTCACACAGATGGATCTGCTCCCCCTCTGCAGATGAAGTCCTGCTCCCAGGGTGGATGCTAGCTCAGGAAGCTCCTCAAGCTGCCCTGCAAAGTGTGAACCATCTCTTGAGCAAGCTGTCATTTTGCTGAGCCTGGAGAAGACACTGTATGCCATTCCCACACCCTGCCAAGCCAGAAGGAGACGGAAGTGGAAACAGCTTGTTCCCTCCCACTCTTTCCTGAGGGAGATGTTTTTGTCTGTGCTGTGGTGGTGTGTCCACACAGCTGGTGCCTACAGTCATGACTTGCAGCTCCCATAGGCTGAGCACAAGAGCCTCTGGTGTTCTCGTTGGTGGACACATGCTGGCAGATACGCCCCAGGCCAAGGAAGGTGGCTACTGGCTCCTGAGCAGGGCTGGCTACTGCAAGCCCGTAGGCTGTGTAGCAGAAGAGTCCTGGTGAGGAGTTGAAGAGGGAGAGGTGTTTTTAGTGGTGGTCAAGAAGTGTGTAAATCCTAACAGATGCAGGCAAGGCTCTGGTAGCGGCCATGCTAAGAAGAGAATAGAGATTATTATCTCAAGTCTTGTATTGTTCCAAGCCTTCCAGTAGATCGAATTAGCTGGGATTACAAGAGGATAATCTCAGGTGAGTGGAAAATGGCAAGCAGGGTGTGGGCATATGAAGGAAGTTCTGTGAAAAGAGGCTGAAAGTCCCAAGTTGTGCAGGTTTGATGACACGCTGCGTGTGCTCTCCCACAGGGTGGTGAGTGAGCAGCTGCACTGTCTGCTGTGTGCACGTGTTTGTGTGCAGGGTCTGCCTGTCTGGCAGCCCTGGGGGAGGGGGGCAGGCAGGACTGAGGCTGCAGGGAAGGGTCAGCTTCTAGCAGTTCATTCTGGAGCCTTATATACAAACATGATGAAGATTTTGTCTTGTAAGAGGGCCTGGGGATTATCGCTGCCTCCTCTGCTTTCGGGGTGATGCGTATGTCTTGTCTGGGCCATTATCCCCATGGCTAAAGCCCCAACCCTAGGCAGTGTCTGTGAGTAGGAAGCTGCAAACAGGCAGGGGTAATGGAGAAATTTTTGCTTTGATATTCCTAGTTTGGGGCATCCTTTCCAAGGCAGAAGTTTGGTTCATGTGCTGAGCACGTGCTTGGTTTTGCTTCATCTTTTGGGAAGTTGCCACTTAAAAAGATGTGGGTGTAAGGGCTGATGGGAAGACACCAAGTCGAGATCAAAGAGGGACCAAAGATGGTGTTTGGGAGAGATCAGGAAAACCAAAGGTGATATTTAGGAGGGATCAGCAAACATTTGTTTTAAAGCCATTCCATTGCAGATCAGATGTCTGCAGGTGAAAATTTTTGTTTTGGGGGTTTTCAGTGTCCATGCCACCCCCACAACTCCTTCACTAGCTCCCAGGAAGTCTCCTTCCATCCATGTTTATTCCCTTGCCCACGTACACACACAGCCCCCATCTTGCTGCCTGATTGCACAATGTCCTTGTCAGCAGCCTCCTTGGTACAGGGGGAGGCAGGATGAGGGGGAGACCCTGTGGAAGAGCCGAGGAATGCTAGCGCATTCCTCTACACAAGTGGCCGGCTGCCCTTGGCTCCCAGCCATCCTGGCTTAGCACGAAGCACGGATGCATTTCCTGCCACTAGTAATGTCCCCAGTGCCCTTCCCCATCCAGTTATGCCCAGCACAAAAGTTCTTTCTCTGGGGACTCCTCCTTGTATCTAACACCTTTCATCTCTGGTTGGGGCCTGTCTCCATTGCTCCAGCCTGCTCCTGACCTCTCACCTCGAGAGCAGAAAGGGGGAAGAAATACTTTTGTTTATCTTCAGTCTCTTAAAATTCTTTAGATTCATCTCTTGCCTTGGCCAGTTGCCTCTGTGTGTGGCCACTGGGAAAGGGCAGCCCCTTCTCCAGCCACTGTGGGTGGGCAGCTCAGAAGAGCTGCTGGGTACAGAGACGGTCGTTCATCAACAGAGCTCCATCCTGTGTTACCACCTCATTTGTAGGCCTGGGTGAAATCCTCTCTGCTCTGTTGTGTGGCATCCAAGTTTGTATGAAAGCCCCAGTTTTAGATGGGAGAGAATTTCCTTGGTGCGGGTGGTGCCAGGAATAACCTGGATGTCCATGTTTGTTTATTTGTGTGGTCAGCACTAATCAAAAGCAGACTGACTTTTTCTGTAGAAATGCTCTTGAGGGAGGAAGAAAGTTTGTTTAGGTTCAGTGCAGATGGGACCCAAAAAAAGAAGGGAAAAAAAATAAAAAAACACCCTCAACTTTGCATTCTAAAATTCTCATGACATTTGCTTCTCAACCAGCAAAACAAAGTGCATGCTCCATTAATGGGCTGCCCTTGCTGCAGCTGGCAGGAAGAAAGCTGACAAAACCATCGTGTTTTCTGGGCAGAGGCAAGTTGCTCCATGCCCCTGGTTCTTGCCTGGCTCTGCAGCATCAGGCACAGACCATCCACTCTTCCTCGGGGTTTGCTCACCAGCACGAAGAGGGAAAGAGATGGAGAGATTGAGGCTGTGTGAAGCTCATGGGTGCTCTGGTTGGCTGCTTCTCTGTAGTGCTTCCAAGATTCGCCTGTTCCTCACCCAGGCCCTAATGGCCTGATGCTTGCCATTGCTGGTTTTTTTGGATGGAGCTGGGGCAACTCTGCTCGACATTAACCCACTGTGCAAAGCAGAGGGAGGCTCAATGGAGGTTTGCCCTTCTCAGGAAGGGAGCAACCAGTTGAGTGCCATGCTGGTACTGTCCTTTCTCACACCTAAAACCACAGGGGAACATGTTGATGGCACCATCGCCAGCGCTGGGGCCCAAGCCCTGTGGATGTGCTCCCTCCAGTCACTAGGAGGAGCTGAAGATCCTGCTTTGCAGCAGCCCCGGCGCTCCCGTCGCTTCAGATGAGACTGCAAAGCCCTGAAGAACAGACTGCAGAGTCTGGGTGGGAAGGGAAGAAGACAAAATGTCCCTTTCATCTTGGGCTCCCAATGGGAGAAAAGCCAGCCCTCTGGTGGGTTCCCAGAGGAGGGATTTGCAGATTCTTTTTGGCAGCAAGGCTGGCAGTGCAAATGGGAAGGCCCTGCAGGCTGGAGGAGAGCCAGCGGGTGAGATAAGGACAGGACATGTTTTGGGGGGGAGACTTTGCAGAGATAAGGGCATTGAAGCTGTAGGGTCAGAAATGTGACCAGATCTTCTAGTGCTGCAGCTCTCCCAACTCTGATTGTTCCTTCTCTCAGTCGTGTCCCTGGGGTCTCTGCTGTCACCAGTCAACCAGCAAGTCCTTGGGGAATGTTGTCATTTTCAACACTGTTCTCTTGAATAATTCCCAGAAAACTTTGTTCTGAGCTAAAAAAGCAGTGCCCAGAGCAGCACAGCTGCCTGCTGGCTCTGGTCAGAGGGACTTCTTCACTTCTTACTTAATTGTCAGGGATCTGCAGTGGGTGGCCACTGATGTGTGACCAGAGAAACCACTGAAAACAGGAGTGGAAACGGAAAGATGGGTTGGTAATTTTCTTTACCATGATATGATGGAGCAGGAAATCTACCAGTGCAGTGATGGGGCGGGACCATCTTCCAGTTCCAGTCTTGTCTGGAGAAGAACACAGGTCCAGTCTGATGCTGCCCTGGCTACAAAATGTCCAAAGGTCATCATGTCTGAGAGGTGTCCTGGATTTGTTCGCTTATGATAGGACAAAAGGGAAGGAGAAGAGGAATTTGTACTGGAGAGGTGGGAACAGCCTTGCCTCATTTTTATATTAGGTTTGGCATAGTCTTTAAAAATTTAAACTCAAAAAGCAGCTCAGCCTTGACTTAAGCAGTGTGCTGTAAGTCAGTGCAGAGATGAGGCCACAGGGAGAGGAGGAACATGGAGCTCAGCTGGCCTGTTTGGCAAGTGGACATCTTACCCTAGAGCAGTGTATGCTCTGCTCCCTTGTAACCACTTCTGTAGAGTTCCATTTGGGGACCCAGTGCAGCTGGGCTCCCCACAGCCTCTGCTCAACCTGTGTCTCCCTGTTTCTCTTGCCCCCAGGTGTCAGCAGTGCCAACTGTGCTGGCTATGAAGAATGGAGACGTTGTGGATAAGTTCGTGGGCATAAAGGACGAGGATCAGCTGGAGGCATTCCTCAAGAAACTCATTGGAGCCTGAAGTAAAAGGGTGGCTTGTACCTCTCCTCTGGACATGTCCATGTTGTGCATTCCTTGCCTGGGAGAGCTGAGGGCAGGTCAACTCCCTGCCCTTTACAACCTGGGGGTTCCTTCTGGTTTGGTGATTTTAGGAGATGGACAGTGTTGTAACCCTTCCCTCCCTCTCCCCCTTCTCGTGAGCAGCAGTAGTTGTAAAGGGCGCTGAGGAGCAGGGCTGCTTATTCTCAAAATGGGGAATGTGGCTGGAATTAGGAGCCTGTGTTTATCAGCCAAGAGCTGACGGTGCAGAGCTGCTGCTGCTGAGTTAAGAGGAGGAATGTTTTCCTCTTTGCCTCACATCTGATAGCCCAGAGCAGAGGGCAGCTGCTCCCTACAAGATGATGGTACATACCTGCCCTGGGTGGGTTCATTTAAAGCTGAGAATGCCTCTGCCTTGCCTGTGAAACTTGTCTCTTTGTTTCTCTGCCCTTATGTTGCGGGGACAGGTACAACTCCTCCACAAATCCATGGGCTCCCATCATAATTTTATAAGAGAAAATATAAAGAAGTATTTTATGGATCTCCTTTTGTATGCCTGCAATAGAGAACTTTATCAGTCACTGCTGTCTGGCTGGAGAATAAAACTTGAGTCTCAGAAATCACAGGGAAGTCCCTTGTCTGTCCAGAGAGGTGAGAGGGAGTATCAGCAGCACAGTGGGCTGGTTTCTAATGATGGGTCAGGAGAGTGCAGGCTATGACTTGATCTCTACTAAAAGGTAATGTGCTGAAAAACAAAGTAGGGGATTACTTTCAGGGCTTTTGGTGGAGCTTCTAGGACCTCCTTTGTGTGCTGCTGGATCCAGGGCGCCAGAGGGAGGACTTGCCTCCCATGTGCAGAGGAGCAGCTGCTCATTGTGCACAAGGAACCTGAGCTGTGCTCGCTCCCCCTGTGCTTTTCTCACTCCTTTCCTGCCTGTGGAGCCTGAGAGCCTCCCTTTCCCTTTTGTGTATTATTAAGTCTGCTCATGCAGGTGAGCCCTGCCAGAAGGCAGTCCTGATCTTGACTTCAACTGCCCTGACCTTTGGACTATGGGTGCCAGTTTTGTGCTCCTATTGCAAGAGCCTTCAGCCCTTCCCACCTCTTCCTCCTCTTCATATACACCTGTTTCCAGCCAGCCTGGCTTCTGAGTGCTCCCAGCCTTCTCTTGTGCTTGTAGGCAGAGTACAGCACCAGCACTGATGCTTACTGTAATGTTTAATTCCAGTTCGCTTATCTAAGCTGCATGAGAACATTGTAAGTGCTTAATAACCATGTACAAGCTGCTTTTTTTTTTTCTTCACAGCTTCTCTTTCCTTCAGTCACTCTTAAATCTGCTCTGGCTCTGCTCCATTTCACCTCCCTGGCATAGGTTGCTACGAGCAGTGAGGAAATTTTTTTTTCTGCACCTTTGCAATGACGATTTATGACCTTTGCAGGAGCCAGGGGAGTGGTGATCCAAGTCCTGCTGCAATTGCAGTGCTGCTGGTGTCACTGCTCCCACCTCCTTCTGTCACCCCTGGGGCCTGGGCAGCAGCATGAGGTGGTGCTGGTCCCCTGAGATGGGTGCCACCCCATCCAGGCTGGGCTGATCTCACCCCTGGCATGCTGCTAGAGGTGATGTCACTTGGGTGTAATTTGGTAAAGAACTGTTGGTCAGTTATGATCAATAAAACCTGGCATTTCATTTTATTTTGGAGATCACAGAAGCTATGCTGCTCCTGTCCTCCTCGTGTTTCAGGGTGGGCAATTTCCCCTGCAGTTTCAGTGTTCCTGCTTGGTAAACACTTCTAGTAAAGGCTCTCCATTTTCCTGCATGAGCAGGAAAAGTAGGGGAACAGCGTCACATACCCGACAATAGTTAACTTTTTTGCCTTACCATCCCACAGAACAGGAAAAAACACAGTGACTTTGCATTGTGTAATTACGGGGCAGTATAAATTAGTTATTTTATCACTTCCTTTTAAGGAAAAGCTAAAGTGTATTCAGCTATTAAAGTGCCAGCACACTTCAGAGTGCATTATATGAAAGCCACAACTGTTTCTTTGAGATAAATGCTGAAGATCCATGTACGTGGTGCCCTGTGGGAATCCATCAGAACAATGTAACAGGTGGACAGGAGGAAAAGAGTTTTGGGAACAGCTTGAGATTCCCCAAGCACTTTGCAAGGTTTTCACCACAGGACAGGACTCAGAGCACAAGGATGTTTTCTGTGCCAGGTTCTTAATTCAGCTCCCTGTTTGCCAACGGCTAGGGGAGGCTTCAGGGATTCCCACAGCAGTGTTAATAACAGAGGAGGTGCAAGTGGAAAGCACTACAAGCAGTGTATTTATGTAGTGGTTAAAAGCAATTTTCATGCCACCTGGATGTGATGTTGGTCTTTCCCGACTGAAGAGAGCTGAAGCAATGGTAATTCCTCAGCAGTAGCTGTTTTTCTTTGTCAGCTGGGAAAATGTTTCCTCTCAGCTCAGTCCAGCAAGGGTGCAGTTTGTTTTCCCTTTTGGAGTTAAGCACATCCAATGCTGCTCTGATCTGTTAAGCGTTTGCTTTCTCCTGCCCAAGCCTGTCTATATTTTACAGTAGCTTTCTCAGCTCTTAATGTTCCTTGTTGCTATTTTAAGAGGACGTGGGGATCAGTGCCTTTCCAAGGGGAGCAAAGCTCAGCTAAACCCACTTCTCCTCCCCATGTATGTTTTGAACCTAACACCAAGATTCCCCCAAAGTCAGGCACAGTGCCCCTGTCCTCAGAGTCTTGTCCAAGGTGCCTGATTCCAGGCAAGCATAGGTTTTCCATTTGTTTCTGTAGGCTTTACACTTGAATCAAGCTCTAACATAGCTGCTCCTTTCCCAAAGATGTTTGTGCCTGCCTGCTGAACTCCAAGTTAATCTTCAGCTGCTCCGGGTCATAGTGAAGATCTGCAAGGAAGGAGGGAGAGCTGTGCTATCTTCTCTGCTAGAGGGGCTATGCCAGGACCAGCTTCAAGAGTTGGTAGATGAAAAATTCAGGTTGCCTGGCTTGCAGCACAGAAAGGGTTGTGTATATGTGGCCCTTTGAAGGGGACAGTTTCGGCCAGTTTGGTTCCAGGGAGGTCTGACCTCAACAGCCCAGCCAGTAAATCCTTTGCTTTATCAACAAATATGGTTCCTTCTATGCAAAGAACAAAACAAAGACCAGCTCGATGTCAACAGGACACTGACCAGCCCTAGGCAGGGCCTTTCACCAGCCCGGCCAGGCTGTTTACCCTAACAGTTTGTTAATCACTTTGAGCTTTCCCTCACACACCTCGTTTTTCCCATCCAAGTAATTATAGGATTCAGACAGAATCAGCAATTAAATTCTCCAGCTCTGCAAGGCTGTTAGCAACGTTAAGCTCAGTGTTGTTCAGTGTTGCTGAATGGTGGCAAGTGCTTGCTGTGAGTTTCCTGCAAGTTAAAGAGTAACAGCTGCAATATCCTAGGCAATAAAAAGATAAGATAAAAACTACCATAGGCTTTACTTCCAGACTAAAACCAAACTAGATCACCTATTACACACTCTCGTCCTCCTTACCTGCCCCTGCAACACACCCAAGCTCAAGTTGTGGTTTAACCCCAGTTGACAACTAAGTACCATGGAGCCGCTTGCTCACCCCTCTCCTGGTGGGATGGGGAGAAAAATCAGAATTAAAAAAAGGTAAAACCTGTGGGTTGAGATAAGAACAGGGAAATAAAATAAAAGAATAATATAGCAATACTTGCTAATGAAAAGGGAAACAACAAAAAGAGAAAGAAAACCCCAGAGAAACAAGTGATGCACAACCCAGTTGCTCACCACACATTGACCGATGCCCAGCCCATCCCTGAGCAGTGATTGACCCCTTCCAGGTAACTCCCCAGTTTATATATTGGGCATGGTGTTCTATGACATGGAATATCTCCTTGGCCATTTTGGATCAGCTGTCCTGGCCACACTCCTTCCCCGTGTCTTTTGCAGCTCTTCACTGTCAGAGTACAGGAAACTGAAAAGTCATTGATTTAAAGTAAGTACTACTTAGCAACAACTACAACATTGGCGTGTTATCAACATTATTCTCATACCAAATCCAACACACAGCACTGTACTGGCTACTAGGAAGAAAATTAACCCAGTTACAGTCAAAACCAAGGCCAAAGTCCATCACCACACATGGGTGGTGTCCTGCCATGTCCTGCCACCCTTGTCAAGGACATGGGGTGCACTTGTGAGCTTTGTGGTTTCTCTGCCTCTGCAGCTCTGTAATTTCAGCAACACTTTTCCTCTTAAAACCTTTTTCAGGCAAAAACCAAAGATTACAACTCTCAGGAGAGTGGTAGCCAGAGGCTGAATGTGGTGTCAGAGGGGGCTGCTGTGCTGAGCTGTGCCTGGTTGCTTTTTTCCTCAATTCTACCACCCAGGGAAGGATAGAGGCAGGAACAGCAGGGGAAATCCCTAATTTCTTTCACCCAGAGGAGCCAAATGGGTGGAAAATGGAGGCCTCCAGGGAGAGCTTAAAAATGTGTGAGCCCACAGCCCAGTGGGAACGGAGGGAGGAGAAACCCTGTGGCTGCCTTCCTGGTGGCAAGGGGTCCCTGATGGGTAGTGAAGGGAACTGATCCTATAAGGAGAGGCTAGAGTGGGACACTGAAGCTGCTCATGTTGTGTGAGTGAAGGACAGCTGGCAGCTGCAGGCAACAGGGCAGCACCCAACTTCCCATCTGCTTGCATTGACTTCCTAGGCCCTCATAATCCAAACAGTCACAATAAAAATGCACTAAAATTGACGGGTTTTCTCCATGGTCTGCAGCTTCTGTGAAGTAAGGTCCCTGTACGTATATATACATCTTTATCCACTCACGTACTCTTGTTGTCTGCTGTGGAGAGTGCCAGGAGCTTCTGGGTCTCACAGATGTCCCCAGCAGCTGTAGCTGCTGACAGAAGAGGACAGGAGCCAGCCTGCTGGCTCTCCCACCCAAGGGAAGGCTGAGCTCCCAGTACCCTTCTCAGCTACTACAGACTCCTCATCCCTCTGCTGCTAAAGGCACCCCAGCACCATCTCTCCTCTCGGAGTGGACAAGTGGTTGAGCAATTTCCTGAAAAACAGGAAATTTTTCAGTGAGAGCCCTCAGAAACACTGACTTTAAGTCATCCAGAGGGTACAAAATGCACCAGAGATTTCGGTGTTTTCCAGAGATGGTGACCTCCGGTCACCCGCTTGGCTCCCGCTCCTCCATGCTGGTCTCACACAGGTCTCACACAGCTGGCAGCGAGAGGGTGTTTTTCCTAGCTGGCTCTGCACTCGTAGCTTCATGGCCTCAGGAAGGAGAGGATCTGCATCCCCTGAGGTTGCTTTCTGGCTCCATCATGAGGCAATAACACTTCCCCACAGGGCCCGTAGCCGTGGGCGCAGGGACTGCACGGCTCCTTTACTTGCAGGTGGCTTTACCTGCAGGGCTGTGGCACAGGTAGCAGCAGGTGACAAACCCAGCCCTGGGTCTGGCCAGGGCAGTGGCAGAGATGGCGATGGAGTGCTGTACTGCATGCAAGCTCCAGCACGCCCACGTATTTATATAACATCATTTTGCTTTAATCTGGCTTTTTTAAGTAAACTGTCAAAGCCCTTTCTGTTC